GCCATCACAGCCCTAGACCATATCAAATGGCTGCCCGGTCTCTTCTTAAAGAGAAGTTGTGGGCAGGCTGGCCAGGGCCTCCAGTGGGTACCAGGGAGCATGGCTAGGCAGGGCTGTGTGCTCCAGGCTGACATGCACTGTGGAGTGTGGGCAGGCAGGGGGTGCTACAGGGTACATGGTCCCTGGGATCTTGCACTCGACAGTGGGCCCCCCTGGGGGAAAAGCCACAGGAGGGGCATGCCGTCGACTTCCCTGCTGACTTTCCTGGTAGGAAGCCAGCAGGGAAGATTGAGAGGGAGGTGGAAAAATATGACGGTGACTTGCTGCGACATTGCAATCGCAAGCCGGACCCTTGAGCACCTGGATCGCAGTTGTGTGATTGCAGGGATGCCACAGTGGCTGCACCTTCATGGGCGAGTCCTAAGTCCCCCTCATTCCGTATTGTTGTAATTTTGAACAGTCGCAAATAACACGAGGACTACCTATGCAGCACTAGACACAAGCCCAAGGCAGGGGCAGGCCACTCGTATATAAATAGAGAGCCAATCCTACCCCCTTTTAGCACTGATGGTGTTATCTAGTTGGGTAATGAAATGTCTTCCAGAAGAAGGCAGGTGCTTGAGGTGGGTTGGCTGAGAGAAGAGGGACAGGTCCAAGGTCACCCATCTGGCTTTCATGCCTAAGTAGGGACTAGAATTCACCATCTCCAGAGGTTTCTAGGTCAGTACCTTAATCACTATACCAACTGGTCCTTTTGGTCATGTGACAAGCAAAATAGCTGGCTCTGCTTGGAATTGAACAACTGAAGCATTGACCTGTCTGGGATGAGCTTGACCTTGCAGCTCTTGAGAAAGTGAATAGGTTCCTTAAATCGATTAAAGCAGCCACCGGATGCTCAGATCCCTCAAAGCCTCTTGGAAGGGGACATGTGGTGGGCCCGTGTGCTGATCGTGTCCTGTCTGAGGGAGAGGGTGGTTTCTCCTGTCTTGGAGGAGAGGCTGTTCTGTCCCTTCTCAAGAGTCTGTTGCCAGCTGCCCAGCACCTCTAGACCATCTCCCTGGCGGGTCTCCAGTCTTTCTATGTTGTTTAGAAAATAGAATAGAATGAATGAGCTGGAAGGGACCTTGGAGGTCTTCTAGTCCAGCCCCCTAGTCAAGCAGGAAAACCTATAACATTTTAGATAAATGACTATCTACGCTCCTCTTAAAAAGAGGGTTGGGTTGCAGCTCTTGAGGGCCAGAAGAAGCAGAGGACCGGGACTGATTTCAGCCAGGCTGAGTGGTGGATGCTTATTGTACTTGCAGATGATTGCAGGTGGATCTGGAATGAGAACGGGGTGGGGTTCGAGGGGGCTTTTTACACCATTGATCACGGTATCCTTCCCAACGGACTATGGAGTGGAAGCGTCCTGTGTCTGGGGCTGGTTCCAGGCACATGGATGGGGAAGAGGCTGAGCCTCTGGTTTAAACACTCTCAACCTTCCTTCTTAACATGTCCACGAAGTTTCTGGGCGAGGTCATTCATTGACCCGGATCCAGGATCATTAATATGCCCATAATATATTGGGTCCTAACTGACCAAGTGTTGCTGCTGGGGTATTTTTCCAGGGCCCAGAGACAGTTGCAGGCTGGATTGGGAGGAGCAGGCAGCAAGGACCTAGGGCTGGACTTCCCCCCCCCTCTGCCCCCCCAACAGGCCTTGGAGGAAGGAATAGAACCACAGAAGAAGAGTGCCTCCTCCCTCCCCCGCTGTCCCAGAAAGATGCCACAGGCCTTGGTGTGGAAAGCCAAGGAGATGGGCTAGGGTGGGTCGTCCTTTCCCATCCCAGGCAGCCGATGCTGTCCTAGTGCAACATCCGGGCCTGAAGCCAGACCTTGATAAGTCAAGACCTTCCTCCAGAGACACTCAAGATTGCAGAAATGCAGTCTTCTCAATGACACCCCCTCCCCCACAAGGAAGGGAAGTTTGGGGACTGGACAAAATTATCCAACGCTGCCAGGTTGAATGATGACCTCTTTTGAGGAGGGACACACCTTCTCCTTCAAGGCAGGCAGAACCATCCTCCAACTGGCTCCATGTCACCTCCCTGGAGACCTTGACCAGCAGGAGGGACAAAGGTCTAACAAAGAATTAGCAGAAAACGGTCACTCAAGCAGCCTGTCTGCTTCCTCAGGAGGAAATGGATCAAATTCAGCCCTGGTGACCCGGCCAGACCCACCCCAGGGACCTTCGCAGGACAGCACAGCTGAAGTCAGTCTGAGTGACTTCATCTGATAGATGCTTTGTATAAAGCCCTGTAGATCTTGTGGGACTTCTGATCTCCTTACTAAGAAGAAACTGAGTCATCCCAAATGAGGTCCCTGGGCCGCCATTTCTGAATGCAACAAGGCAGAGAAATCCTTTTACCTCCAATGAGGATAGCTAGAATGTTCAAGAATAAATCGGAGAAATGTTGGAAGTGTCATCAGACTCCAGGATCTTATTACCATATGTGGTGGACATGCGCAGAAGCTAAGAGATACTGGACTAAGATACACATGTGGTTGGAAAAAAATGATAAAGAGACATATTGACTTTAAACCAGAGATATTTTTATTAGGGATCCTACCAGAGACATATAATAAAGAACTGCAATACTTAATTGTGAATGTTTTAACAGCGGCTAGAATTGTTTTTGCTAAAAATTGGAAAGGAGAAAAATTACCTACTGATGATGAAATCATTAAGAAAATGTTGGATTGTGCTGAAATGAGTAAATGGATATTTGAAATTAGAGAACAGGAAGATAAATTATTTGATATGGGATTTGTTTTATTAATGGTTAGATAATAAAACATGGAGATGAAATATGAAGTGGATGTAAAGATAAAATATGTAAAGTTCTTTTTCATGGGAAATAAGCTTTTGTCATATATTGATATTTTGAAGATGGGACTGAGCACAAAAGAATGTTAACCGATCGACACGCTGTCTGTAATTGTTTGGAATGATGATGGTTTAATGTTATGTTTTTGTTTTAAAATCAAAAAAAAATTATTAAAAAAAAAGGCACAGAAATCCTTGTGGTTCTTCACCCGCATCCCCCCAAGACGCTGAAAGGCTACGGGTCTCTGCCAGTCCAAGTTCAGAAGCTCCCAGCAGCCGGGCCGATACCCCGCTCTCCCCAGCAAGGAGGGAGGAACGCGGGAGGAGGGTTTGGCACATGACGGCCGGACCGGTGCTGCATCACCCCAGGGCTGGGATGGGGCGCGCTTTTAAAGTGAGGCCGGCCCGGCCGAGCAGGGAGCCGTCGAGCCGCCGTTGGAGCAGAGCAGAGCAGAGCCGAGCCCAGCCGCCGGAGCCGCGTTTGCAAGTAAGGCGGGGGGCGAAGGGGAGCGCGCTTGGGGACCGCCGCCTTCCCCTTGTCTAGAACCGGCCCCGGGGAGCAAAAGCGCGCCGGCTACTGGGGTCGCGCTTGGTGCCCCCACAGGAAGGGGCCGAGTGGGGCGAGAGCTGCCGCTTGATACTGAGGTGCTGGGAACATCCCCGGTTGCCCTCCCGCCAGAGGCCAGACCCGGCCGCCGCCCTGCTAGGCTTGGGACCACAAGCCTCTTTGCACGCAGTGAAACGTGCACCATGAAAGGCGTGCCTGCTTTTCCGAGCGATCGGCGGCGGCAGCGCTCCAAAGAGAAGGTCCCATGGCCAGGAAGAGCCCATAGAAGGGGGTGGGAACTGAGCGGGGGTCGCGGCCAAGCTGGCTGTCCCCTCCTGACAGCTCTGCAGGGACAACCCCGGTCTCCTTGGAAGGCAGCCGCACCTGCTGCCTGGAGAGCCGGCCCCCTGCTCCCTACCCTCCCACTCCACAATTAGGGGTCAAGAAGCATCTGAACTGCCCCGCTGCTCTCCTGGTGTGTCACTTCCTCTGCAGCAGCGCCCCCTCCCCTTCCCCCACCACATTGGGTCAGGCCGCCTCTGCCCCAGGACTCGGCACCCTGCCTGGCTGGCCTCCCTCCCCGAGTGGCAATTAGGGCTGCAGCCTGGAATCCGGGTGCCTCACTGCCCTCCGGGGTATCCAGCTCCTCAGCCTGCTTCCCCAAAATAATTGTCTGGGGTTCAGCCACAACAACCGTCGCCGCCAGCAGGGAAGCGCTCTGCGTCATTACAGGGCTGAGGTTCAGCCTTCCTCGCCTGGCCGATTGCCAGGTGGAGGAACCAACCTGGGGCTGGAGAGCTCACGCCTCCCCCAAACATGGATTAAGGGCCATCCAGAACAGACTCCTGTATCACTTTCCGAGGCAGCTGGTCCAGGAGCCCCCCCCCCATCAGCACTGTGCAGCTGAAGCCCAAGAGTGGCTCTTGTGCTGCCCCTCCACCCGTGGGCAGCGCCCCTCCCGCAGAGGCAGAGTTGGGTCCCTCTGTGTTGGTGCTTCACTCCCTAATGGGGAGGCTCAGTGGCCTGCAAAAGTTGAGGGGGAGGCTGAGGAAATGGGCCCCAGTGCCCCCCCCCCAAGAGAAAGAGCACAGGGCTGCTGCTGCTGCTTGCTGGTAATGCTAGCCTTGACTTCTGTGTGTGTGTGTACACACAAGCACAGACCTCAGTTGTTCGGGATAGCCTCCATGGTGCACCCTGTAGCCTGCAGCTGTTTTCAGGGCAGCTGTTTGTCAGGTGCATCCTCTGCTGGGATCCCAGCCCCAATTAGCTGCCTTGAGAAATGAGCTCAGAAGGGAAGCAGCCGTTTGCCAATTTGAGCGCAATCAGAGACAAATGGGGTAAGTCATGCTCCACAAGGCAGCAATTAGAGCAATGACAAGAAGTGAGCTGGCAGCATCTGGGGCTTGACTGGCCCTGCCAGCCGTGGCACAAACATCTTCCCTGCTGGGAGCAAAAGGGGTGGTGGATGCCTGACCACCCACTCAGCTTCCTGCCCGCCTGTGCTGAGCCCTCTTGCCAAGGGGCCCTTTGCCCAGTTGGCCTTTTGCTGGAGAACCTGCCACAGAGGAGCAGCTGAGTAGCCACCGTTCTACTAGTATGGCTGAGGTATGCGGGGCAAGATGGGTCACCCCACACAGCCCCCCAAATGTGGTAGGAGGGGCTGGGAGCTGGCTGGAAAAGCCCAGCTGGCCAAAGGCTGGAGCTGGGACATGAGGCCCAGGAGGGGCACATTTCCCAAGGTGGCTGCCCAGATCCAGGGGTTGCCTTGCTTTGGCCATGCTCCAGGGTTGGCCCTGCACCTGTTACCCATGGCCTGAGGAGCTCTTGGCTTTGTGCCATGTGGTACAAAAGGGTGGTGGAAAAAAATGTAGCCAGAAACCCTGACAGGTGGGTGATGACCTTTCGGCTGACCTGGGTGAAGGACTTGCCTGCTGGTGGCCCGGCCTGGCCTGGCGAGGCTTCTCGGGGGCCCAAGGGGAGGCTGAGCTGCCTTTGGCCTGCCCTTGACCAAGCCCATTGGCCTTTTCTCTCCCTACAGAGCCATCTGCCACCGCCTGCCCTCACCCGTCACCAGAAACAGCGTGATATCTGCATCCAGGTCCAAGTGATGCCAGGAGACAAGCGCTCTGCCACGGGGTGTCCAGAGGGAGCCCCCATTATGCAAGTCCGTGAAGAAGCCCACTGGCCCTTTCCTAACCTGATGGATCCCCGGGAGGATCAGGTCATTGCGGGCATCCTGAAGGAGCCTGGCCGGGAGAAGCTGAGCATCCGGCAAGCCATGCACAGGGGCCTCCTCACGCATGGAACAGGCCTGGCCCTGCTGGAGCACCAGGCTGCCTCTGGCTACATCGTGGACTGTGCCAAGAACCGGCTGCTCTCGGTGAGAGATGCCAAGAATGCGGGTCTGCTGGACCGGGACCACTTCAACACGCTCCTGATTGCTGAGAAAGCCGTGACCGGTTACACGGATCCCTTCTCGGGGAACAAAATCTCCCTCTTCCAGGCCATGAGGAAAGGCCTCCTGATCAAGGACCATGGCATCCGCCTGCTGGAAGCTCAGGTGGCCACGGGGGGACTCATCCACCCCATGCACAGCCACCGCCTCCCCGTGGAAGTGGCCTACAAGTGGGGGTACCTGGATGCTGAGATTTTCCACCTGATCTCCAACCCTGCCAACCACACCAAGAGGTGCTTTGACCCCAATGCCCGTGAGAACCTCACCTACCTGCAGCTCCTGCCCCGCTGTATCCTTGACTCGGACACTGGGCTGCTGATGTTTCAGGTAATGGATAAGGGGTGCGTCCATCTGGATGAGAATGCACGGAAGTCCTTAAAGTTTGCCACTGTGAAGGTGCAGGTTGGGATTTTCCAAGGCCAGGAAGTCTCTTTGTGGGACCTTCTCTTCTCCAGGTACATCCTTCAGAATAAGCGGAAGGAGCTACTGAAGCAGTTCAAATCTGGCTCCATAACCCTTCAAGAGATGACGCAGGTGCTCACTTCCATCATTGATGAGGCGGAGACAAAAAGTAAGTCAAAGCCCATCCAAATGATGCTTTTGCATGAGAGAGACAGAAGCCGGTGCAGCTCCGAGAGGGAGATCATAGAAAAGATCCTGAAGTCCAGGGTGGTCATGATGCCGGCTGGGGAGTTCTCTGGACACAAGATCTCTGTGTGGGATCTCCTCCATTCCAAGTACATCCCTAAAGGGAAGAAGAAGGAACTCCTAAAACTGTTTGCGACCGGCGTCCTCACGGTTGACCAGATGGAAGTGGTGGTTACTGCCATTGTGGCCAAAGTGGAGGAAGAGAAGGCCAAAATGTTGGGTGCAGGCCAGGAGGACGAGAGTCGGTGTGAGTCCCAGGACACCCAAGTGCAGCAATCCTTAAAGCTGATCCAGATCCCAGTAACCTCTGGCCAATTCAAAGGACAAAACATGTCTGTGCTGGATCTTCTCTTCTCTAAATATTTTTCCTGTGAGAAAAGGCAGGAGCTGCTGGAGCTCTATGGGTCAGGGGTGCTGAGCCCCAAGCAGATGGTGGAAGCCGTGAGGAGCACCCTGGAGAAAGTAGAGGCCAGTAGGAAGAGGTTCATGGTAAGGATTAAGGGTCGGAGCCAGGAAGCCTCGGGGAGTAAGCAGGTCACGGCAGCTTCAAACTCCTCCGCCTCCCAGCAGGCCGATGACTTGCTGAAGGCCAAGATGGTCACCATCCCTGCGGGAGAGTTCCGGGGGCAGCAGATGTCTGTGTGGGACCTTCTCTCCTCTCAGTACATCACGAGAGACAAAGGGGAGGAGCTGCTGAGGAAGTACAGGGAAGGGGCCTTCACCGTGCAGGAGATGGCCTCCATGCTCACCATCCTGGCTTCGCTGCATGACCTCTTCTCTACTCTGGAGAAAACAGCTCCCAGAACTGGTGCAAAGGCTTCAGACCGGGGCTCACTTGGTCCTCCCACTGTGTCATTTGAGGGGGAAGAAGAGGAGGAAGATGAGGACGAGGAAGACGATGATGAGGACAGTGGTGACGAGGACCAGAAGAAGAAGGATAAGGTCTTGAAATCGAGAATGGTGGAGGTCCCTGTGGGGGAATTCGCTGGACAGAAGGTCTCTCTCTGGAAATTGCTCCACTCCAGGTACTTCCCAGAGAAGAAGAGGAAAGAAGTCCTGAAGCTGTACAGGATCGGGATTCTCTCAGCTGACCAAATGGAAACCATCGTCACTGCAGTCGTATCCAAACTTTGTGAAGAAAAGGCTAAAGAAGACCGGCATGGAAGCAGCCCTCCTCGCCACAGCCTGAAAGAAGCCGGGGCGGCTGATGTCTCCATCGAGAGGCTCAGGGAGAGAACCATGGAAAGTCTAACCTTTGAGTTTCCTGTTGGGGAGTTCCAAGGCCGGAGAGTGACCGTGTGGGACCTGCTCTTCTCTAACTACGTCCCAGAGGCCAAGCGGCAGGAGCTCCTGACCAAGTATGCCACGGGGGCGCTGAACAACCAGGATCTGTTGGCTGCCCTCACTGCCCTCATCACGGAGGCCCATAGCCAGAGGAATATGCTCAGCATCCCGCCCCTATTTCCCCTACTGCCCCGGGAGGCTTCGTACATGATGTTTGGGCCTCCCAGGGCCTCCATGCAAGACCTTCTGGCTCCTCAGGAACAAGAAGCCCAGAACAACGGAAAGGTGACCTACAGTGAGGTCACCATGACCACCACGGTGGTTCAAGGGGCTGAGCAAAAGCCAGAATAAGCAACGGGCAGATCCTGGAGCACTGAGTGTTACTTCCAGTGCTGGGTGGGTGGGTGGGATGTGGGACAGAACACTGACAAGCAGCCCTGAAGGGAAAGTGCTTGGGTGGGGAGGGACTGCTGGTCATGAGGGAGCACGAGGGAGGATCTCCTTGGGTCAGAGAGGGATGATCGATCCAGGCAACCAGTGGGAGGCTGAGCCATAGGCTGCTTGGTGCCCTGTGTTCAGCTAGACTGAAAGGGGCTGGACCACCAATCTGCAGGGAACAGGGGCATCATCTTGGAGCATCACGTTAAGCCACTGTTGTGTTTGTTTGGGATCACATTATGCGAAGGCAGGCATGTGCTTTGGTGACCTGGGCTGAGGCTTTCATGTGGTATGTATCTACCCCTAGACCCGTTAGGTGAAAGAGCCTGACGTGGGTGGTGGTGGGGTGGTGGTGGTGGTGGTGGTGGTGGGCCTTATATCTTTGCCCATGTTCCCTTGGCAGGAACCCCTTGCCTGGCAGCCCCCCCCCTTCACCTTGACTGAGGCTGGCGAGGAGGGATGCCCGTTTCTCAGGTCGGTCAGCCTTCAGCTCAGTCCTGTGACTGCAGGTCAAGCATTCTCCTCCCTGGGTTGCTCCCAAAGATGGGCCTGGGCTTCTGCCACCACCTCGGTGGAGAGGCGACTGGTTTCCTTCCAGCTGTGGCCAGGGCTCACTTGTCCTCGCAAGTGCTATACAGCCCTTGGCCACCTGGGTGGGGTGGAACAAGGGTGGGCCATTGGCCGGACTTACAAGGACCTTGTGCATTTCCACTTGTGGAACCAGAATGAAATCGACCTGTGGGTGACTCCCCCAGCATCCTATCAAGCCCCTGTGGGGGGGGGGCATGCTTAGGTCAGCTCTATGTTCTACCTGTCTGGGGACAAAGCCACACAGGGACCAGGGGCTCAGTCATTGGGACTCTGCCCAGAGCTGGTGCAGGGCTTCAGATGTGACCTGGGAGCAGCAGTCAGTGAAGGAGGAGAAGGAGCACAGGCACTGCAGTGGTTCTGTGACGTGAGTGCAGGGACTTGGGTGTGTGTGTGTGTCAGGTGCTTGTTGCCTTGTGAAACAGTCTGTTTAGTTTTGCTCTCTGCCAATAAAAAGTGGATGTGGATAACTGATTTGTTGCTTCCTCTTTCCAAGAATCTGGCGTACGTTGCCCTCCTGACCGGCCCCCATCCGTCCCGTCTGCAAATCGGGCAATTTCTCTCAGGTAGAGGGATGCAGGGAGAGCATCCCCCTGCTAGAACTGCTTGCATCTTCCAGCCTCTCAAGGAGAGCAGCCTTCCCCTTACCGCCTCCTTTCTCTTTGATTCCCTCTTGGGGAATGTGCCTGGGCCACCCAGAGCTCAGCTAAATCCTCCTGGGGGGGGGCCCTCCAGCCAGTCTCTGACTCACCCAGTGTGGCCCAAAGAGAGGCCCCCCCTCGAGCGCTGCAGCCCATCATCCTGGATGTCATCCCCGGCTGGCAGCAGCTGCTTCCCAGCTTCCTTTCTGAGAAGCAACCCCCCCCATGCAAGAAGAGGCTTTCCAGCAGGGTGTCCCATGGGGGGGGGAGGGACTTCACCTGTTGTACGTTGGAGGGGGCTGTGCTGTCCACCCATCTTAATCCTCTTCTTGCCTGTTCCTGTCCTTCCTCCTAAGGTGAAAATCCCCAACCCACAGGAAAGGGATGGTGCTGGGAGTTCCGGGGGTGGGGGGGGGGAACCATCCCAGAAATGTAAGTTCTGTTTGGGGTTCATGGGAGGGTTTCTTTATGGAGGAAGATCAGCAGCAAGAATTGGGCACATCAAGAAGCTGATCAGCAGCCCCAAATGATGCTTAGCCTGGGCAGGAAGCCAGTCCCGCTCCTGAAAAAGAAGGACCGGAATGTCCCAGGTGAGGGCAGCCTCCCTGCAGCTGGGGGGGTGGCTCCCTGGATGTTTCCCAGCCACAACCCAGGAATTCCTGGGTGGTCCTCCACCCAGCTGCAATTAGAGCAGCAAAACAAGGAAATGGGGAATTGGGTGGGGCTGGCCCACATCAAAGGCCCCAGAGCATGCAGGGCAGAGATGATATTTCCAGAAAAGTGGCACACCCAGAGAGCAACTATTCCGCAGGTGCAGCACCCCTTAATATTGCCTGACTTGTTCTTTACCTGCCATCAAAGTGAGCTTATTCCAGCAAGAGGGAGTTGGAGTGGGGAAGGAAGGAAGGAAGGAAGGTTAGACTTCAGGACTCTACTCCTCCATCGCAGGGAGGCGGAACCGATTAAATGGTTCCATCCCAGGCACCTGAAGGGTTCCAGAAGGAGCTTGGGGAGATACCTGACTCCCTTGTCCACAGTCCGGCTGAGTCCCTGACGACTGCCTGAAATAGGGTAGCATCTGGGGCACTGGACCGGATTGCGCCTTTGCGACCTCTCCATGGCGGTAGATCCAGGAAAGCTCCCTGGTTTACCGAGGAGCTCCGGGAGATGAAGCACCAGAAGAGACGTCTAGAGTGACGCTGGAGGACCAGTAACTCTGAATCTGACAGAACACTCTTTAAGAGCCTTTATTAGGACTTATTTAGTGGCGATACGGGCGGCAAAAGGTTTGCATTTTTCCGCACATTGCATCCACTGATTCGCACCCAGCCGCCCTATTTAGGGTGACTCGTTCTCTCCTTAATGTAGGGGGAGTGGAGGAGCCCTTGCAGGGTAGAGCTGAGGAGTTTGTGCAGTTTCTATCGGATCAAGTCGCTCAGATTCGGATGGACCTGGACTCTGATTGGGCAATTCTGACCGAGATGACGGGGGCAGGTCTTAGTCCTATTGTGTGGGATGAGTTTGAGCCTGTGACTCCTGAGGAAGTGGACAAGGCTGTAGGAGCGATGAATTCCTCCACTTGTTTGTTGGACCCGTGCCCCTCCTGGCTGGTTTTGGCCAGCAGGGAGGTGACACGAGGCTGGCTCCAGGCTTTAGTTAACGTGTCCTTGAGAGAAGGCGCCTTCCCGCAACCATTAAAGGAGGAGGTTGTAAGGCCCCTCCTCAAGAGGCCTTCCCTGGATCCAGCAGAATTAAAGAACTTTCGTCCAGTCTCCAACCTAGCCTTTGTGGGAAAGGTTGTAGAGAAAGTGGTGGCACTTCAGCTCCTGCGGTCATTGGAGGAAACGGATTATCTAAACCCTTTTCAATCTGGCTTCAGGCCTGGCTACAGCACGGAAACTGCTTTGGTCACGCTGATGGATGATCTTTGGTGAGCCTGAGATGGGGGTCATTCCTCCATCTTGGTGCTACTTGACCTCTCAGCGGCTTTCGATACCAGTGACCATGGAATCCTTCTGGGATGACTAAGGGAGTTGGGAGTGGGAGGCACCATGTTACGGTGATTCTATCTCTCTGGTTGATCACAGTCGGTGTTGGTAGGAGGACAGAGGTTGACCCTAGGCCCCTCGTTTGCGGGGTGCCTTAGGGCTCGGTCCTCTCTCCCCTCCATTTAACATCTACATGAAGCCACTGGGTGAGATCATCTGACGATACGGGGTGAGGTATCAGCAATACGCTGATGATACCCAGCTGTATACAGTATCTCTACCCCGCATCAATTCAGTGATGCAGTGGATGTGATGTGCCAGTGCCTGGAGGCTGTGAGGGTCTGGATGGGAGTCAACAGGCTCAGACTTAACCCAGACAAGACCGAGTGGCTGTGGGTATTGCCTCCTAAAGACCATGCTGATTGTCCATCTTTGGTTCTGGGAGGGGAGAAATTGTCCCCCTCAGAACGGGTTCGCAATTTGGGTGTCGTCCTAGACTCACAGCTTAGATTAGAGCAACATCTGACAGCTGTGGCTAGGGGGACCTTTGCACAGGTTCGCCTGGTGCACCAATTGCGACCCTACTTGGATCGGGAGGCTCTCCTCACAGTCACTCATGCCCATGTCACCTCACGGTTAGATTATTGCAACACGCTCTAAATGGGGCTACCCTTGAAAAGTGTTCGGAGACTGCAGCTGGTCCAGAATGCAGCCGCGCGAGCTGTTGTGGGTGCATCTAGATACACCCACATTACACCAATTCTCCGCGAGCTGCACTGGCTCCCTATTGATCTCCGGTCCCAATTCAAGGTGTTGGTTATTACCTTTAAAGCCCTACATGGCTCAGGGCCAGGTTATCTTCGAGACCGCGTTCTACCGCATAGCTCCCAGCGACCGGTAAGATCCCACAGAGTTGGTCTCCTCTGGGTCCCATCAGCTAAACAATGCCGGCTGGCAAGCCCGCGGGGGAGGGCCTTCTCTGTGGCTGCCCCAGCTCTCTGGAACCAGTTACCTCCTGAGGTCCGGACCATCCCCACCCTACTGGCCTTCCGAAAAGCGGTGAAGATCTGGCTTTTCCAGCAGGCCTGGGGCTGTTGATCTCGCTCTTGCGATCCAGCGAGATCCGGCCATGAATGGTGTGAATGAGTTTTAATGTTTTAAATGTTTTTTATAATGATTTTAAATACATTGTGAGCCGCCCTGAGTCTTCGGAGAGGGGCGGCATACAAATTGAATAAATAAATAAATAAATAAATAAATAAATAAATAAATAAATAAATAAGGAAAGTGAAGGAGGGGGAGAGGGAGAAAGGAAGGAAGGAGGAAAGAAAATATGGAGGGAGAAAGGAAAGAAGGAAGGAAGGAAGGAAGGAAGGAAGGAAGGAAGGGGAGAAAGAAAGGAAAGTTAGGAAGAAAAGGAAGGAAGGAAAGGGAGGGAGGGAGGGAGGGCTTCCATGAAAGACCAGAATAGGAAGGGAGCAGGGGTGAAATGCTCCCGGTTCGGACTGGCTCGGACGAGTAGGTAGCGATGGCAGAGGGCAGTTCGGAGAATCGGTAGCAAAAATCCCTTCCTGCCCCCCCCAGCCTCCAGCTTGCTTACCTTAGCTGCTGGTCGCAACGCCTGCCTTGCTTCGCTTGCTGTAATCCCTGCAATCCATTGTATCGGCAAGCAACTGAATCTCCCTGCCTGAAATCAAGCTCATTGGT